TGCCCAGGGACCCCCACCCTGGACCCCGCTGCCCAGGAACTGCCCTTAGCCCTGCTCTCCCTGCACGGTGGGATCTTCTGCCCGGCCCAGCGCTGCTCCTGACGCACTGCTTTCCTTTGCAGCGTGCGCTTCTTGTCTCCTAGTCTATGTGCTGTGCCCACGGATCCCTGATGCCCCTCGCCCTGGCCCCAGGCGTTCCCCCGGGCAGCTGGGGCTCAGCCACCCTCTCTGCTGCCTGGCCCCCCACCCGACCTGCTTGTCCCACCACGCTGAGCTCCGCCGCTGCCAGAGCAGGAGACTAATGAATTGTGTTTGGTGCAGACGCCCCTGGCCCAGCGCCTGATGATGCAGGAGAGCTCACTGGCCCAGTTTGCCCTGCAGAGCGCAGCCTCCCTTCCGGCCATCACACTGGGATTGCCGGCTACCAGTAGCGCCAGGGTAGGTAGCCAGGTTGTAGGTAGCCCCAGAACTGGGCAGAGGGTCCCCGTGGGGCAGGGGAAGCCTTTTCCTTTGGGCCTGGTGTTCCTGGGGTAATGCCAGGCGTGCGCTGGCTCCACGTACTCCCGGGCATTGCCCGTGGGCACAGTGAGGATGTGCCGTCGCCTCCCCGTTGCTAACCCTGTCCTCCTCCTCTCTGCAGGGAGAGGCAGATCGCCGCCCCCTCTCCGGCCTGGCACACCGGGTGCCCGTGCTGAACGGACCTGTCCTCGCGGGCACACACTCGCCCATGTTCATACCAGCTGGCTTGGAGCAGCACGAGGCTGGGAGCCCCTTATCCCCTCGGCTCCAGCCCGTCATCATCCTCGAGCCCTCGGTCACCCACACTCCGCTGGTGGCAGGTAAGTGTTGAGCTCGGCGACAGGCACTGAGGCCGTGTCGGTGCTGGTAGGGCTCAGCGTGGAGCTCCGCTCGGGCAGGCGAGCTTTTTGGGTGCTGGGAAAACCCAGTGGCCTTGATTTTTCCCTTACTCTTCTGTGAGCTGGGGCCGAGGGAACGGAAGGTGTTGACCCTGGTTCTGGCTAGCCAGCAAGCACGTCCTTGCCATGGATGAAACCAGAATTCTTCACACACTACAGCCTTGACAATGCAGAGAGAGCCATAGCTTTGACTCTTACAGAATCATAGAATCTTAAGGTTGGAAAAGACCTCTGAGATCATCAAGTCCAACCGTCAACCCAACACCACCGTGTCTACTAAACCATGTCCCGAAAGTGCCACATCTGCCCGTTTTTTGAACACCTCCAAGGATGGTGACTCCACCACCTCTCTGGACAGCCTGTTCCAATGCCTGACCACTCTTTCGGTGAAGAAATTTTTCCTAATATCTCCAGGGGAGATTTAGATTAATCTTTTCCCTCCAGCTGCCCCTTGCCCTGGCCAAGCTGGGCTGGTGTGGAGCCGTTCACCTTTCCTGCAGCCCAAAAGGCCCCCTCCAAGGGGTCTCTCTTGCTTCTTCCTAGGCTCTCGTGCCAGCAGATTTCACTACAGACCCTGCGTTGAGCAGGGCAGCTCAGACCTCTTGGCTGTACCTCTAGCTGCCTTATTGCCCCTAGCCCCTCCAGGCAGTCCGCTCCGACTGCAGCAGCCGGACAACTGGCTCCTTTGTGCTGGTTCCTGGCTCCATCTCTCCCTGCCCTATCGTACCTGCAGTGAAGGAAGCTTCTTCCGTTGAAGCTGAGGGGGGCCCGAGGTGATTGAGGTCAGCCAGATCCTGTCCCCAGACCCCTGTGGGCTGTGCCATGCCAAGGTGATGGGGACAGGAGGAGGGGAGCTGTGAAGATACAACCCATCCGTCCTCACCTACCAGATACTGGGCTCCAGGGCTGGGTCACTGTCATTTTTAGGGCTGTCTGGTGACAGGCTGCATGGGTACAGACAGCACTGCTGCTTGCCATGCCCAGCTCTGCAGGGTGTCACGCCTGCCCAGCGGACAATGCCACCCCTCACCTCTCCTTTGTCTCCCTTGCAGTGCCAGGTCTGGGAACGGTCCCCTTCTCCTTCACCCCCTCGCTCATCTCTGCAGAGCGCCTGTCGCTCCCCGGCCACCATAAACCGCTGGGCAGGACCCGCTCGGAGCCCCTGCCCCAGAACCCCAAGGCCATCCAGCAGCAACTGGTGTACCAGCAGCATCACACCCAGTTCCTGGAGAGGCTCAAGCAGCAGACGCATCTGGGCAAGGTAAGTCGTGGAGGTCCAGCCTGGGCGTGCAGGAGGCCGTGGGAGACAGGTGCTAGAAGGGTGCAAGATGGCATCCCTTCCTGCTGGGCAGCGAGCACCAGATGTCCAGGGCCAAACCCGAGGCAGGCATGCGAGATGCTGCCTCGCCCCGACTCGTAGCAGCAAGCTGAGGGTACCTGCTCAGCTTCCTTGGCTCCCACATCCATCGTGCTCCTGCCCTGAGATGCCCTGCCACCCACCGTGACCTCCTTGGCCCGGGCTGTCCCCTGCCTGAGCTCTCGGTGCTCATTTGTGACTCCTCTGGCCGCAGCGCATGGCTAAATCCAGCGAGAAGCCCCGTCTGCGCCAGATCCCCTCCTCGGAGGACATGGAGGCCGAGGGGACGCTCCCGGAGGCCGGGGCTGAGAGCAGCGACCCGGCAAGGGCACGCCTGGAGCCCACACGGCCGGGGAGCAGCGTGAAGGAGCCCGAGAGGACGCAGAAGATGCTGCAGTCTCAGGAGGAGCTTGTCCTACAGCAGGTACGCGAGGGCTGGCAGGGACGGGAGAGCTCCGGGGAGGGGTCCGGGCTGCCGACCTGAAGCAGCGCTTTCCCCGCTGGGCACGAGGAGCCCGTGGGGAAAAGGGACGATGGCTTCACTGGCTGTCTCAAGCTGCACGGAGCCCTTGGGGTGGTTTGAAGCCTTCATAACAAGCTCAGGAGTGGGCTGGAAGAGGTGGAGTTCCTAGCCTCGTCCCTCTCTCCAGTTGTGGCTTAATTGCTTTGAGCATTAGTCCTGTGCAGGCAGCGTGCAGAGATCCCTGCCCTGCGCTTTGGAGCAAACGCTTCCTCCCTTGGCGTCTCCCATTTGAGGCTTTGCACAAACCCAGCAAAGCTGGTGGCATCCTGAGCCCGGGAAGATTCAGATCAGACCTTGAAAGCCACCTCTGAAAAAGGGTGCTGTGTGGGTAAGGACACTCCTAGGACAGGGACGAGAGCTGTAGCCACCCCTGGTGTCAGCATCGTCCGCAGATGGATCGCTGGGCATCGTCCCCAGAGTGCGGGGCATCGTCCCCGGATCGCTGCACCTTGCCGCAGGGTTGCCCAGCACTGCGGGGCTGAGCCAGCAGAGAGCAGCAGATGCTGCGTGATGTGTCCCAGCTCCTGCAAACCGGCTCCGGGCCCCCCAGCGTGGAGGGGGCTGTTGCATCCAGACACTGGGAGGGTGCCCAGTGCAGAGCTTCCTTCCCTGGCCCGGGTGATGTTCCCCTTGCTGCCCTGGTGCCTTGCTCCGGCTGCCCTGCTCACCGCCGTCTCTCTCCATCAGGCCTATCTCTGGGATTCCTACCAGCGCGGGCAGCAGCAGCTCCTCAAGCGGCAGCCCTTGGCCGACTCCCCCATGGTCCCCACCATCCATGCAGGCCACAGGCCCCTCTCCAGGGCCCAGTCATCTCCTGCCACCGCGACCGTCTCCCTCCCTGCCCAGGACACAGCCTCCAAGACTCTCTCCCTGCCTGTGCAGGAGCAGCCCGCCAAGCCGCACTTCACAACAGGTACGGGGCTGTCACAGCGGGAGCAGAGCTGGGGCTGGGGACGAGAGCTGGAAGGGAGGTGGGGATGCCCAGGAGCAGCTTAGCATCCATCCTGGTCACTCCCAGACTCATAAATGCTTGGGGGTGCTCTGGCTGGATGCTAAAAGGGTGGAGTAAGCCATGAGTGGCCCCTTCTCCTTATCTAAGGTGGCTTTTCCAAGCAGGACTTGTTTATCTGGCCCCTTGACTGCCATCCTGGTCCAGCGATGCTGGCAAGGTTCAGCTCTCTTGCAGATCCAAGGCAGGATTTGCTTCAAGCACGTTGGGACAGAAGCTCCCATGGTTTGAGGGAAGCATTTCTGTCAAACCAAATAGTTACGGGCGTTGAGGGTCTCGGCCAGCCCCTGAAAAGGAGCTGAAGTGGTGTCAGCACCATCGAGGCCTGGGCATCCAGTCCAGTCTCGGGACAGCAGCTCTCCCTGTGCGTTGCAGGACTGGTTTACGACTCGGTGATGCTCAAACACCAATGTTCCTGCGGCGACAACAGCAACCACCCAGAGCACGCGGGCAGGATCCAGAGCATCTGGTCCCGTCTGCAGGAGAGAGGGCTGCGCAGCCAGTGCGAGGTGAGCGCGAGCGGCGGCGGGGGGCCCGCCGCCTGGCCGGGGGGGGGA